AGTTGGGATGGACCTAAGAGAAAAATCTAATCCAATTTATAACTGCAACAAGAATCCCTACAGTACAACATCCTGGCCCTGTGGTCATTCATCCTCCACTTTTGGATACTTGTGCATAGTAGGTGCTTAATAAACATCTGTTTGAAGAAACTCTCAAGGTCATTTAGAACCTAGAGATCATTTGTATTCACTGATTCATGCATGTGTTTTATATAGTAATTCCTGTATGTGTTTTAAATAGCAAAATGTAAGCTCCTTGAGGTCAGGAACTATTTAGTTTTTGTCTTTGTACCCCTAGCACCTAGATTAGTGCCTGGTACACTTTTGTTTAAACTAGAGAAGTAAAATGAGCAGAAGAAAACTATGTTGAGTGATTTTAGAAAGCCTAATACATTTTCTATTTCTAGCTAATTTATTGCAACAACATGAGAGTAGTAATAAATGCATCTAGCCCTCAACATGATTAGTGAAACTTGCTATTTGAGATAAAATTTTGTGGGACTATAAATCATGTCCAACTATGTGACCCTATGTGGGGTTTTCTTGGCAAAGACACTGGAGTGGTTTGCCATTTCCTTCAGCAGCTCATTTTACAGATTAGGAACTGAAGCAAACAGGTTAAGTGACTTGCCCAGGGTCACACAACTAGTAAGTATCTAAGGCCAGACTTAAGCTCAAGAAGATGAGTCTACCTGACTTCAGGCCCAACACCATGACATCTAGCTGCCAGGTATACAAAAGGTATTTTAAAAGTGTTTCTTAAATTGAATTAGATCTAACCCACTGATCTCTTTTAATTTTAAGACGATATTCGTTACATTGAATGAAAATTTGCCTTTCTTTGCCTTCTACCCATTGATTTTAGTTGTGCTCTCTGAGACCAAACAAAACAAGTCTCATCTTTTCCCCCCACATAGCAGCCCTTAAATTACTTAGAGGTATCTATCAAAACCAGCCTCCCACCCCTTGTCTTTTCTTCTCCAGATTCAACATTCCCCATTCCTTCAACCCATCTCCACTAATCTTCTGACCATCCTGGTCACTCTCCTCTGGAAGCTCTCCAATCTAGTAATATTTTTCTTAAATTGTACTACATAGAGCAGAATACTGGACATTATATCTGTTTTGTGTTGTTTTTCACTAGAGCAGAACACAGCAGAGCTATTACTGCTCTCATTCTTATACTATACCTCTCAAAGCAGCCTAAGTCAGTATTCCATTTTTCGGAGATCCTGTCACACTGCTACCTAATATTGACCTTGTAGTCCTCTAAAAACACCAGATTACTTTCATATTAACTGTTATCTGGCCACGTCTCCCACATTTTGTACACAAATAAGATAATGTCCTCATGAAATTATGTTTTTAAATCTAAATACAGGACTTTACATTTATCCCTATTTCATGTCATCACAATAGATTCAATACACCTTTCTATCCTGTTCAGATCATTTTACATACTAACAGTCATTCACAAGCCAGCTATTCCTACCAGCTTTATGTCTTCTACAAATTCAATAAACATGTCGTTGATTTAAAAAATTAAAATATTCAGTAGTACCTTGCTAAAGAAGGCTCCTTTAGGTACTCTGCTCACAGGCTTCCTTCAAGTTGACATCAGCCTATTAACACCTAGTCTTTGGGCATCATCATCAAAAATTTCTGAATTCATCTAATTGTGCACTGTCATCTACTCTACACTTTATCATTTTGTCAACAGGCATAGCACAAAAGACCTTATCAAATGCTTTGCTGAAATCTCAAATGAAATAATGTATGTACACTACTTTGCACATTTTAAAGCAATGTATAAATGTCAGTTACAATTTTTATTATATCTACAACACTTCCCTGAGCTACTGGCCTAATAATCTAGTCAAGAAAGAAAATGAGGTTAGTGTGATATGATTTGTAATTGGGGAACACATGCTCTTTCTTATTGATCACTGATTCCCTTTCTAAATTCTCCCAAGCCATCCTTTTAACAATACATTCTAGAATTTTTCCAGGAATAGAAGTCGAGTTTGTAAGTGTTCTTCCTAAAACACGTCAAATTGATTTTCCTAAAGCAGAGATACTATTATGCCAACCCCCTTCTCGAGAAGCTCCAATGGCTCCTTCTTGCCTCTTGGATAAAATACAAAATCCTCCATTTAGCATGTCTTAAAGCCCTTTAAGACATGGCTCCATTGTAAACTGATCCAAGTATTCTGGAGAGCAATTTAGAACTATACCCAAAGGGCTAGAAAACTGTGCATATCCTTTGACCCAGCAATACCACTTCTAGGTCTATATTCCAAAGAGATTATAAAAAATGGGAAAAGGAACCACATGTACAAAAATATTTATAGAAGCTCTTTTTGTGGTGACCAAGAATTGGAAATTGAGGAACACCCATCAATTGGGGAATGGCTGAACAAGTTGTGGCATATGCATGTAATGGAATACTATTGTGCTATAAGAAATGATGAGCAGGTGGACTTCAGAAAAACCTGGAAAGACCTGTGTAAATTGATGCTGAGTGAAGTGAGCAGAACCAGAACACTGTACACAATAATAGCCACATTGTGCAGTGACTGACTTTGATAGACTTAGCTCTTCTCAACAATGTAAGGATCTAAGACAACTTCAAAAGATGCGTGATAGAAAATACCATTCACATCCAGAGAAAGAACTGTGGAGTCTGAATGCAGATCGAAGCCGAATATTTGCTCTTTTTGTTGTTGTTTTGTTGTGTTTCTTCTTTCTCGTGGTTCCTCCCATTGGTTCTAATTCTTCTTTACAACACAACTAATGTGAAAACATGCTTGATGTTAATGTGTATGTACAGCCTATATCAGATTGCACACCGTCTTTGGAAGGGGGGAGAAAATTTAAAACTCTAAATCTTATAGAAGTGAATGTTGAAAACTAAAAATAAATGTGTGGTTTTTTTAAAGAAGACACAGCTCCAAGGTAGTTTTCTGGGCTCAGGTCACATTATTCCCCCTTATAAAATCTATATTCTAGACAATCCTATACACAACATTCTATCTCTGAATTCTATGCCTTTGCATAAACTGTGCCTCACACCTAAAATTTACCCCTTCCTCAATTCCACCTCATATTTCAAGGTTCGGTTCAAGTGCCCATCTGCTATACAAATCCTATCCTGTTTAACCCAATTATTATCTCACCCTCCCCCATCAAATAAAATGTTTCTCATTTGTTTTCTATATTTTATTATTTTTTTAATTACATATTCCCCCCAGGAGAACATATGTTCTTTGATTTCAATTTAAAGTCATTTGATTTTTTTGTCTCTGTATCCCCAGTGTCTTGCCCAGTGCCTGGCCCCTTGTGAGTGCTTAACAAATGTAAATCGAATTGAATCTTCCCTCACCCCTCCACTACCTCTATTTTCAGTTTAAAACCATTTTGAGCAGGTCCACAAGTCTTTTGAGCAATATAGTCTTGATGGCTCCTACTAGATGTACTCTCTACTTGGCAAAGAGATTTCTGGTTCATGCCACAGTTCAAAAATCCAAAATCTAATCACCAATTCCATCTTTTTTAGTATCTGTTTACTACCAGAATGGTTTGGTGGAAAGTTTGGTGAGAAGAATGGTTTGGGGAAACAGTTTGGATTATGTTAATAATTTTTTAAAAACCCTGGGTTTAAATCCTAGCATCCCATTGCCCAGGGTCACTTGTGTGGCCTTGAGTAAGTCACAAAACCTCTCTAGGCCTTTGTTTCACCATTTTTTAAAAGAGAATAATGGACTAGATTTCTAAGGTTCCTTCTAGCTAAAACCCAATGATTCAGCATCTCCTCTCTCTTCCAAAGTCTTAAGATTGCTTCTAGTTCTAGGGCTATAGTCCCATGACCTTTTAACCTCCTGACCCCAGTAAGATTTCTTTCTGTTTAATCAAAGTCCATTTCTTCTTTGTTCTCTTAAAGAATTTCTTCCTTTTTTCCCTTCAGTTGGGACTGGGCTAAAGGAAGAAGTAGTTTGCCATTGTGATAAAGTGACTGGAGAGTAATTACTAGGATAAGCCAGTACTTGGCAATGATGATCATTACAAAGCTGAGATAACGCTGTCTAGATGTTTAGTGGCTGCAGAAACTAAAACCCAGTACCCAAAGCCAAATCTATCAGTGTTGTACATAGATGCTAATATTTGTGAATTATTATATTGTGAGTTAATCCATTCCCCCAAATGGGCCAATTTGTTATACTTATGTGATATATTAATTTCCTCTGTGTATAGAAGGAATAGTAAAATAGGAAAGCACTGTTTTGTTTAGTAGTAACACTATGACAGCTAGTAAAAGAATTTGGAGGGTAAAGTGGTTTAAATCCTCAACAGAACCTGATATCTATTCAATTGTAACCTTGAGACTGACTATGAAAGAAAAAAAATAGATATAGTTTAAAAGCATGGAAGCAAAAATACAATTGTATTAGTTACTAAAAATGTGGCAGTGAAGCAATTTGCATACTGGGGCGCAGTCAGTATCATTCTGCCCCTTCTCTTAGCTCCACATTGGCAGGATCAAAATGAAGAAAAGTGCCTACAGAAAGAAACCCACTCCACCCCCAATGACTTAGCTGGATCCTGTAAAAACTATCTTTGGAGGTATGAGAAAAAAAAATCAAGGTTTTGTCATTATTATTCATTATAAACCTGTTCAGCAAAATTCTCTTAAAGGTGCTCCCATTTACCCACTGTGCTTTATTTAGCCATCTACCATGCAATGTTAATAAAGTGTGACCTCTAGTGGAGATATATGATTTTCATTGCAATTAGATTGAAATATTTCCTATTTGTAAGCCTGTACAAGAGCCCAGAATTCATTCCTTTATGAAGCTGTTTGATCAAGATATTTTAATTCTTAGCACTAACTACACAAAGAACATAGAAGACTGGTTAGGGCAAAAAGAGCATCATGGTTAGAAAATTAACAATAAAAAGAAATGGAATATAATTGTGTCATCTATCTTTTTTTCTTGTTCTAGGAATCAGAATTTCTGAATCAGAAGGGAACTCAGTGGTCATCCAAGTCCAATCCATAAAGAAATGGCTTTTACAATATCTCTAAAAGGTAATTATCCAGCCTCTGCTTAAAGTAGTGAGGAAGAAGTCACTACTTCATGAGGTAGCCTCTTATTTTTCTTGTGGACAGCTCAAATTGTCAGGAAGTCTTTCTTTTTATCATATTTCTCTGTAGCGTTATTCACTGTTCCTCCTTCTGTTCTTGGAGATCAAGCAAAGTTACCTTAATTCCTCTTCCTTCATGACCAAGGACTTTGTAATCTACATTCAGGACAAGAATGACAACAAAACGTAGGTTCACTGCTTAGGGAAAGATCACATAATATCAGCAGCTAAGAAAGAAGGAAGTAGAATTACTATTTTTTTTTCTGTCAAGTACAATGTGCCTTGTAAATTTTAAAGTATTGTAAAAAAAAAAAGTGAGTTGCTATTGCTGCGGGGTTATTACAGTGAACTTCATTCATCAACAGCTGCTCTGCTTGGTTTCAGCTCTATCTCTTCTTCATCATGCCCTGCCCAGGATAAACTCGTCACCAGGAAACTCATCGTCATGGAGATTGCTTCAGCTTGCTAGTCACATCTCATCAGTACCCTCAGTGGCTTCTGCCTCTCTGATTGGAGGGTGGAACAAAAAACTTTCCCCATACTCTTGCTCTGTAAAGGGCTTAAGATTCTAACCCTCTCTTCATTTGCCACCAGTCACTCTGCTCAGTTTTAACTCAACCATCATCTTCATCATACCCCCTTGCACAGGTTCCCTGTGGCACTCCCCCTACCCCAATTTTTAGCTTCCTTTTGTTAGGTTGTAAGCTCAGTGGGGGCAAACATGAACCCATGAGACAACAAAATCAAAATACAGGAGCAAGGGATCTATCCGTATTCTACTTCCCTGTATAGTAGGATTCTTTGCCTTCATGCCTGTGCCCCTCGGCCTCTCTGACAATTGAGAACCACCATAATGCATCTAGTAATGCTTCTGAGCTCTGTATCATCCATAGAAGATCGTTAGCATTCTCCCTTCTTCCCCATGTGACCAATGGTCAGAATGCACAACACAACCAAATTTTAGTTTTCCTTGAAGGATAAGTCTAATCAAGCAACAAGAAACTACACATCTAATGTTACCTCTGTTACCTCCTTTATGCTTCTGTTCTGGGTCTGAAATACAAAATGTACCTCAGGCAGAGCAGGCACCTCTTTGTATTTGGAAATATTAATGAAAACCAATGAAAGATTTCTACCTGAACCACAGAGATGTGAAAGTGGTTTCCACCACTCAGTTCCTAAAGTTCCAGGTGCAACTTCCTACGGTCTCCAAAGAAAAGGGAGAGGAAAAAAAAGCACTTCTTCATCTGCCTAAGCCCACCCTAGCCTGGGAATCAGCTAGCAGCAGCCAGTGAGTCATGTGTATATTTGATTCAGGTGCTATTTCACCCAGGTGGACCTCAGACTGTGTGGGTTTTTAACCGCTTCATTTCCAGAGCAAAAGGGAGGTGTTATTTCATACCACACAAGGAAAAAAAAATGCTTTGTCCAAGACCTGCCAGGCTGAGAAGATTTTGGGGGAAGGGGAAGGGAGGCCACCAGAGGACAGAACTTAAAGGATTAGAAGACAAGTTTTTAAGCCGTAAATTGGCACAGCTGCTTAACTACTTGGAATGCCTCTGAGCATGAAGTATATGGGTAATGAGGCAGCACTAGCTGGGCCTTTGGAGAGGTAGGATGCGTTCAGCTGTTCCCCCTCTCATCACAGAAAACAATAGAGCCACCCAAAATGACATCTTGCAAAAAGCCCTAGGGATCTCTTCCACTTAAAATGTAAAATGCCTAAGTATTTCAAGTGGAGGAAAGGACTATGCTCTGTTTTGTTTTTGTTTGGTTTTAATGTTTAGAAGACAAACAAGCTATCAAGGCAATTCCCAGCGCTAAACAGACAAGGATATTTATGCTGTTTTGTTTTCCTTATCTCTTAGAAACATCCTTCTTATTTCTGTTGGCTACACCTTAGCTCCTTCCCAAGCTTCTCTTTTTTAGAAATCAGGCTTAGTCATATTGGAGCTCAACTTGTTTATTCAAGATTTATTAGTGATCATTGTTTCAGCTCTGACTCCTTCAGAGTTTGCTGGGTTCTTTTGCCCAGATTTTTGTGGGACTATACCTACCTGGGAGTAGGAGAGTAAGAAAGGAAGCTGTTAGTTTTAATGGAGTTAGTACAAAAACATAGCTAATAGCTATTGAGCAACTAGAGCACAACTCCAAAGAGATGTTCAGAAAAGAGACATCAAGAAAGGTTTCTGAAGAGAAGCTAGGAAATATGTGGCCCTGTTCTTCATGGGGTCCTAATATAAGTCTGAGTTTTAAGTTGTTGGGGCTTTTTTCTCATTTTTAAAACATTCCTATATCTTGAGGGCCATTGATAAATGAAGAAAATGGGAGTGGTGCATTACTGAACATTCCCAGTTCCAAATTATTCTGATTTTTCATAGTTCAGCTACCGTGAGCTAGAGAGACTTTTGGCTGAAAAATAATTTTATTGTGATTTTCTTATAGTTGTCCTTATAATCCAAGGTGTTTAGTTAAAGCCCAGCTAGTCTAACCAATCTCTATTGTTGACAGTTGTAGTTGTGTGGGTAAAACACAATATTTTCAAATTATATCCAGAGTAAATTTCCTTAGTAATGACAAAAATAAATTTTAAACTAGAACATGCAGGAGCTCATTTGGCAAAGGACTTTATCTAATACATCTTAAGGCATAAATTAAAATACAACATTCAGAAATTTTTCATACTTATGTTTTTAATTTTACACATATCAAGTAGAATATGTGCTGTGAGAAATTATTTTATCTCCTGCTCTAGAAGTACTTAAGAATAGTTGGAGCCACCATCTAGATATTTGAGAGAATTCACTTTCCATATTCACAATTAATTTCCATTGACCAGCAATAAAGGAATGATTATTGATACTTCTTAAACAGCCCTAATCACTGAATGGAGGTTGCCTCAGTCAAAGTAAATTCTGAAAGACTTTAGTTTAAAAACACCAAGGTCTTCTACTACATCCAGGGCCATCTCCAGTCATCCTGATCATAGCTGGCCACTGGACCCAGATGGTTCCGGAGTGGAAAGTGGGCTGGTGACTTTACCCAGTCCTTCCTCACTTAATTCCAATTGACTTGAAGTCATAGCATCATCTGCCTAGTCCTCTTCAGGAAGAAAGGACAAACCACACAACAATATGCTGGAGCCACCTCAACCATCTGAAGTGCTGATTGTTAAATTTTCAATGTGAGTATTTACACCATGGAGATTGGCAAATTACAAATCAGAGTTTGATTTATCATTTCGTTGATTGTCCAGATTTAAGAAAGTGCCAACAATGCTTTAAAAGTGGCATGAGTATTTTTTTTCTCAAAGAGATAGTTGTTAAACATTTATCAATTAACCCTTGGTTACTAAAGTAAAAACATGAAGACAATTGAGCAATCCACCTTGGAATTCATGATGGACATTTTGTTTTTGTCTTCATATCCCCCAGAACCTGAAATGTAATAGACGCTCAACAAATGTTTTTTTGACTGATTGATTGACAATAAGAGGAAATCTAGGAAGTCTGATGTTGAGTGAATTTCCTTATCTGTAAATGAGACTGGACTAGATGACTTTAAAGTCCCTTCCACCTCTAAATCTATTGTCCTACGTATGATATGCATAGAAGTTAAAGAAAGCAAATTGCAAAGGGAGCCCATAAGTTATGGGAAACTCTTGAAATTCAGAAGACATATAAAATTTTGATGTAGAGACAAAGGAAGCAGTTTCTAACAAAAGGGACATATATACACAGGAAAAACATTTGTTTGATAATAATAATTATAGCTAATATTTATATAATACTTTGTATCAGGTACTGTGCTAAACACTTCACAATTATTATTTTATTTAATCCTGACAACAACTCTAATAGATAGGTGGTATTATTATCCACATTTTACAGATGAGGAAACTAACAAAGGCTAAGGAACTTGCGCAGGGTTACACAGTTAGTAAGTGTCTGAGGCTAAATTTGAATTTAGGTCTTCCTGACTCCAGGCCCTGTACACTATCCACTGCACCATATAGCTGCCCTATCTGTAGATCAGCATGAAGAAAAAAAAATAATAAAGGATGAATACAGACCTTATAGCAGTAGCATTGAAACCCTAAAACTCCAAATTAGCTAAGGATATGAATAATGTCAAGTGCAACAAAAAAGGGAAGGGAAGGGTAAGCTATACTGGGGAAAAGATGATCAGAGAAGAGATGGAACCAATGCTAGGAGAGGATTGGGTAATGATATCTGACCCCCCCAGGGAAATATTAGGACTACTTATCTCATATTGCTTCTGCTTCTCTGTTTCAGAGAATAATCCTTGGACAATGATCTTTGAACTTTTAGAAGTATGGCCCAGAGGGAGTTTAGACCCAAGATAAGATGGGAGCTAAGAAGAGAGCATCTCGCTACCCATAAGGATTTAAAGTCCCGATAAATTTCATAACAGGGTAATGAAACCACTAGTAGATTAATGAGGCACTATTAGGAACTTCAAAGATCACGGAAAATGGAAAAGGACTCATTGGACTGGAAAAGGCGAATAATTCTTTTTCTTATAGGGTTACTAAACTAGTAGATAGGAAGGGAATTCCAAGCAAAGCATTCAACAAATTTTCTTACCCTAATCTTGTGGACAAAATGAAGAAATGTAGGCCAGATAATACTACATTTAGGAGGATTAAGAATTCAGTGAATAGTTGGGCCCAATGAGGATTCTATAATGTTTTGAAATCACCTTGGAATAAAGTCTGTAGTAAAGTATCCCAGGTATGTGTGCTGAAATACGAGCTATTCAAAAATTTCTCATGATTAGGATGAAATGCATAAATAGCAGACTTTGCAAATATGAAAATGATTCAAAGTTGGGAGGATTAACTAAAATGTTGGCTGATACTTGGGATCCAAAAAGATCTTGAAAGACTACAATATATGTTAAACTGAATCTAACATGATGGAATTTTTTCTCTCTCTACTTCCACAGCTCCTAAATGAAATTTAACATGGATAATTAATGCAATATTTTCTACTTCAGCTTTTTTTTAAAAATCAGCATCATAGGTATAATATAGAGAAAGTATTATTAAACAAGAGTTCATCTGAAAAAATCCTAGGGATTTTATGAACTTCAAGCTCAATATGAATCAACAGTATGATATAGCTTTCAAAAAATGCTAACTCAAAAGTAGGCTGCCCTGGGAGACACGCGGTGTCCAAAATAAAGGAAGCAATAAATCCCACAGTTTTCTGCCATGGTCAGACCACATCTGAGATATCATGTTCAGTCCAGGAAGCTACAGTCCCAAAAAGACAGTCAGAAGTTAAAGAACATCTAAAGTGTGACAAGTATGGTGTCAGCCATCAATCATTTAAGAGTCCTACTACATGCCACACATTTACACAAAAACAAAAAATGAAAAAGCCCATACCCTTACAGAGCTTACATTCTACCTAGTGAAACAGCATGTACACATATTATTATATAGTAAATCCATAAAAATAAATAAGGCAATTTGGAGGTTTGGTATCTTGGGCCCCAAAATCATGTCATGGGAGAATTGACTAATTTCAATTCAACAAGTATTTTTTCAACCTCTACTAGGTTGTCAGGCACTGAGCTCATTGCTAGGGATATAAATGCAAACGTGTGTGTGTGTGTGTGTGTGTGTGTGTGTGTGTATGTGTGTGTAAATGGCATGTATACAAATAAGTAAACATGAGATACATACAATTGGAGGAGGGAAAGGACTAAATATGACAAAATTGGGAAAGATCTCACATAAGTCATGGCGCAAACTGAGCCTCAAAGGAACTAGGGTTTGCAAGAGGTAGAGAAGGGAGAGAGTTCCAAGAACAGGGACAGCCTATGAAAAGATGGAAACAGAAGACGGTATCTCATGATCAGGGAACAACAGTAGGATAGATTAACTGGACTATAAAGTAGCAGTAAATGTAATCAACCTGAAAAGATGGACTGGAGCCAGGTTGAGAAAGAATTAAATGCCAAAAGGATTAGTTTTTACTTTCACCTAGAGACAGTAGAGAGCCACCAAAATGTCTTGAATAGGGGGAGTAACATATTCAGACTGTTTTAACCATATCAATTTGAGAGCTCTTACTGAAGGAAGGGGAGATGTCTGTTACCTAGAGGAAGGGTAAGAATTATTCTACTTAGCCATAGAGGGAAGAACCAGGAGCAATGCATGGCAATGATAGACAAATCTAGGCTTAATTTAAGGGGGAAAAAGCATAAAAATTAAAACTATCCAAAGGTAGAATAGGCCTTTTGGAGAGATAGTGGATTCTCTTTCATTGAGGGTCTCAAAAATTTTTTTTTAAAAACAAAAACCAAAAAGGTCTCTACAAATGTAAAACCTGAAATGAAAATTATCAAACCATGTGGTACAGTGAAGGGTAACACTGGAATGGGAGTCAAGAGGCCCACCCATAACTAAATATATACATGCAGGCATTTCATATCAGTTTCTGTGCTTTGTTTCCCCTTATGAAATGATGAGATTGGATAAGGCGGTCTCTATGACCTTTTCTAACCCTACAATTGTAGGAGTTGTCTGACTTGTAAACCCTGTGATAGGCACATTAAAATAAATAACAGATGAAGAAGCCTCCAAAAATATGCGCTACTCACTTAGTACACCTTGAGGTGGAAGAGGTGGGATACCTTCCATGAGAGTCAGAATAGACTGGGAAATTGAGGAGAGCGGCATCTTAATTTCTGAGAATTTGTTCTGTAGACAAACAGTCTGAGTCTCAAAGGCAAAAGGACGTCACTTTTATTGGTGACATCATAAGTCAGAATTCTCAAAGGGGCCTCTGATAGGCTGAGCCTTAGTAACACATCTTTCTCATCTTACTGAGTGGCTCTCTAGAAAATAAGAAATGGTTCAGGAAGAATTTTTTCATAGTCTGGTCTAACTGTGCACCAAGTTATTCATGCTTTGAGAAGAAATGTGAAATATAGGACAGCAAGCATAAGGCCTGATGAATAACTTAAAAAGTAAGGCTAGTCCCACGCACAAGTGAAATAGGTAGCCACCACCTATGTGTTATCATTTCAGATGCACTTGAAAAGTATCTTCCACGTGCAAGTGGTTCCTGGCATGAAATTCTACCATTTGAAACTTATTTCTTTGTATTGAACATCACCCTTTCCTTACAGTTCTCTTTTAAAATGCACATATTTTCAAGAAATCTGTCATTAAATTCTTAGTGTAAATTAATTTATCCTGTGAATGATTTGTGTGTTGATTTATTTTATTAATCATAAGAGATGCAACAGGTGAGAAAAGATATTGAAAGGGAGAGCAGGGCATTGAAAGGAGATGTGAGGAATACCAAAGAAAAATGTCACCTATTTGATCACTTAGCAGAATTCTGGTTCTACTTTAACAAGTAAAAGACTAGATTTTAACCCAGGTTCTGTTTTTTCCCCACACCAGTATCTGTTTCTTTCATTTTCCTTTAAAAAAAATGCTAAATTTTAGTTTTTTCACTGTTTCAAAGCAACTACACTAGAATCATAAAATTTTGTAACTAGAAGGAACCTCAAAGATTATCCAGTCCAATCCTCATTTTGTAAATAAGGGAAATGAGCTCAGTAACATGATGTGACTTGTCCAAGGTCATATAGCTAGCTAATGGCAGAGCTGGGACCTGAACCCAAATATTCTAAATTTCTGTCTCTGCTGTTTCTACTATCCCACATTATTCTCCTCTCTCTTTCATGGACTGATTATGATGCTTTTTAGTCATGATCAATGCATACTTAATCAATGAAACACAGAATTTCAGAATTAGAAGGGATTTGGGTAAGCATTTAGACCAATCCACATGATGCAAAGAGTTCCCACTCCCATATACCCAACAAACAGCCATCCACACTCTACCTGAGGACCTCTAATAAGGGCAATCCCACTACCTCTAGTATAGAGACAACTCCTTCTAGTTTTAATCACCTCTGATTATTAGAAAGTCTTCCTTAGGGCAAGCATAAATGTGCCTCTTTGCCATTTCTGCCTACTCTGGGAAGTTTTGACCTCTGGAGCTAAATAAATTTGGTCATTTACAAATATCTTCATAGCCTTTTGATAGATCTTGTATTTAGTTATATTTCATGTTGTGTGCCCCATTGGAAGGTGAACTTCTTAAGAACAGGCACTATTATTGTTCTTATGTATCTTGTATTTCATATGTATCACCAGTGCACAACACAGTGCTTGGCACAAAGTAAGTACTTTCCCATTCATTCACTGTTGACAATCTGGTAAGAGGAACAAACAATTATAAATGTGTAAGTACAGGGAAACTTTGCAGTCCACTTAATCTAATCATTTCATTTTACAGGCCAAGACAGATAAATGACTTGCCTTTAATAATAAGAAGCAGAGCTATGATTGCATCAAAAATCCACCACTCTTTTTGTCAAGTTCCATAAGAAGGAACTCCAATAAAAAAAAAAGTATCAAATGAACCAAGGAAATTTATTAAAGGGGATGATAGAATCAGATAGATTCTTATGTGAAAGGTATAGAAAACAACTTCTTAACACATCCCAGGCAACAGGATCAAGAGAAACCTGCGTGTCAATGTCTTCTGATCAAATATAAATATTCAACAGGATGGTGCAGAGCACATTAATACTGGGGGATAGCTTTTAAAATGAGCAAGATGTTATCAGCTGTTGATGATTGCAGCAGACAAACAACATCTTAAATGAAATCAACCGTCCTCGGGACTAATAAAAGACATGACAATGACTTGCATCTTTTGAAAAACATGGCTGAGATGAGAAACTGGCCTCAGATGTTCCCATTCTATTTTATAGATGACATTAGCAATTACTTATCTTCACAGAAATCTGCACAAAGCACATTCAGTGAGCTGCAACCCTGAAAAAACAACTTTTATTTGCCATAAAATTACTTTCTCAGTATGCCCTCATTCGTTTTGTTTTCTTTTGTTTTTCCATTACAATAAAGAAAGGACACACAACATTTACATTACCAAAATGTTTAAGCCAGGCCAGGATATTAAACAATTCATTCAAATAGACAGGGTCGGGACCTTCTTCAGTACTTGATTACCTGCCCGACATTATCTCTGAAGCCACAAGTCTGGTTTAGGCTTTGCTTCCTATCAGATAAATCATGGACAGCAAGCATGTTCCAGCCTAAAGTCCACATGAGGGTATTATTATATTCATTCTCGACGTTTCTGCTCAGGTTTCAATGCATGAGACTAATTATTTAAAGAACAGCTATTCAATTTATCGGAGCTCAGGAAATACATTTATCTTTCACAATTCAACCAATGTATCCCATAGCATTTTCTCTGAGAACTCTGCTCTAGGCAGAAGGCCTTACTTAAACAAATACACAGCTGCAGTAATCCATTGCCCAATGGTTCAGGAAGAAAAGCACAAGAATTGTTAGAGGTATTGTTCAGTAGTGTCTGACTCTTCATGACCCCCTTTTTTTCTGGCATGGGGGTGGTTCTTAGCAAAGATACTGGAGTGGTTTGTGGTTTCCTTCTCCAGCTCATTTTACAGATGAGGAAATCGAAGCAAATAGGATTAAGTGACCTGCCTAAGGTCACATAGCTATTAAGTATATGAGGCCAGATTTGAACTCATGAAGTTAAGTCTTCCTGACTCGTAGCCCAGGACTCTATCCACTGTACTGCCTAGAGGATCTGAGGAACAAATCTCTTCTCTTGCACTTAGGCCTTGCAAATGAATTTGGTCAAGTTATTTGAACTTTCTCAGAAGGCAGCTAGGTGGTACAAACGGGACCACTGAGTCGGACATGACAGAACAGCAGGTCAAAGACTTCATCTGTAACATGAGGGGTTTGTACCATATAATCTCTAAGCACTACTACTACATCTCTCATGTGGTAACTCTTCTTCCCAATTGTGAATTTTCTCTCCAGTCTACTCTAGGATTAAGACAGAGACAGAGAATGACTCATGTCTATGAGGCATTCATGTTTGCATATGTTCATTCATATATTTTCATTCATTGTAATTCTGCACTTAGAAGCCTGGTGATAAAATGACTTGTGCTTATAGACACAGTAACAGAGCAAAACTCTCTAACAAGGGCCTTGGGGTTGAGCTCCCAGCCATATGCTAGGAAAGGTCCTTCTCCTGCATGGTTCTTCTTACACCCTCTTACCACAAACAAAGGGACCCCCAGAAATAGAAGTACAAGTTCAACCATCAGTATTCATGAGAAATAATACTAAATCTGGCAAATGTATTCTTTGGCACAATACATTTTTAAAAACAATTAACTGGAAGTAAGTTTGGGATGGAGTAGGGCCAACTTGTTTCTTTTAGCACTCCTACACTGGGTAAAAACGCCCAGTCACACACATCCCAGCTCATTCATTTAGAAGTCATCTCTCAATCTGCAGATATGGCAGAAACCAGTTGGTGCCATGATTGTGCTGTGGCCATGGGAAGACTATCACTTTTATGTAACTTTTATCTCTCTTTGTTCTCAAGTCCCCAAACTCCAGCTGAGGGAGAATTGGGGAGGGAAAGGGAAGTAATGGAAGGAGAAGAGAGAAGGAAGGGGAGGAAGAGTATTTCATTTGCTTATATTTGCAGATATATTTTGTTTATGCTTCAGATACATTATTTTGAATTTCTAATAACTGCCTCTGTAGGAATCTGAAACTCCTATAATCAGAATTGAATTCTACCTTTCACGGTCACAAGGACACTAGCCATATTTCACTGGTATACAAAGTGAACAAAATCTCCCTCTTCTATTTTTTTCCTCTCACTTTTTTTTTTAATTTTCAGCAACCCGGTAACATAAACAAAAACATTCAAATGATATGTATTTTTAAAAATAAAATCATAGGAATTAGAGCTTCAAGGAACCTTAAAAACCATCTAACCCAACCCCTACAGTTGAAACTACAGGCATGTGTGTGTGTGTGTGTGTGTGATACTAGTCTTCTGAGGTAACACAGAAAGTAAACAGCAAGGAACAGAACCATAACTATCACATATAAAACCAATAAATCTATTTTTGATAGTTAAATTGCATATTCTCCTAATTCTCAGACTATTCTTTTTCCCACTATACAACCCAATTCTTCTCCATCTCTTCCAGAAATTTTCTTTTATGTTTTTGGTTCTTTGCCAACTCAGATAAATACAAACAGGTCACCATAAGTAAGAGGAACCACATGGAAAGTTTCATGAGAAGAATACCCAGTTGCAATCAGTAAAACAAATTGGGGAAGGATGTGTACGTTAGCTTTAACAAAATCACAACAAACACATCCTGTTTGCTTCTCTTCCTTCTTCTAATCTCTTTTTCATTTGTCATTTTTTTCAGGTTTTGTTGATATTTTATTTTTTACAGTAAACTCTTTTTAACTTTTTTGTCACTAAAATCAGTTTGTGTGTGTATATGTGTGTACAAATACGCACATTCGTATATATTTCTGATTCTGCTTTCTTCACTCAGCATCACTTTATATAAGTAATAATAATAATAACTAACATTTATGTAGTACTTTAAGGTTTATAGAGTAAACTTTTAAATATTGTCTCATTTGAATCCAACAATCCTGTGAGGTAGGTACTATTATTATTCCCATTTTACAGATGAGGAAACTTAAACAGAGAAAAGAAAAATGGCTTGCCCAGGATCACACAGCTAAAATTTTCTCAGGGCAGATTTGAGCTTAGATCTTCCTGACTTCAGGTTCAACACACTTTTCCTGTAACACCTAGTGGCCTATAAGTCTTCTCATACTTGAGTCATTCATGTCTGTCACTTCTTATGGAAAGATAATATTCCATCTTGTTCGTGTATCGCAATTTGTTTAGCCATTCCCCAGTTCACTGGCCCCATGCCCTCTTTCTTTTTCTTTAATGTTGGGCCTAGATAATCCCAAAGAACCATTCAACAATTCTGACAACTACAACAGCTTGAAAAGTGTCTTAAATATAACAACAGAGAACAGAGATGTGTGTTTCCTGCCTTGATCTCATCCCAACCCTGGCCTATTTCTGCCCTGCTCTGGACTCATATAAATCCATCAAGGTTATCTGTTCAGAATCAGCCATGTGCTTGTTGGAAAGCCTGGCCATAGGGAGACCATTTATTATTAGGCTGTTGAATAGTCCAAGCAAGGTATGATGGAGGCTTCATATAGGATGGTAGTTGTATGAGCAGAGAGAAGGAGATGAGTGCAAGAGGAAACAGAACTGACAAGGCTCTGCAACTAATTTTATATATGTATGTGTATATATGTGTATGTATATCTATATGATATATACATGTGTGTATACATGTATACATATACATACATATACGTGTGTATTGTATATGTGTATGTGCATGTGTATGACTGAAGAGAGAATGAGGAGTTGAAGATAACTCCAAAGCTATGAATCTGGGTGACCAGAAGGATGGTGGTTCCCTTGGGAAAAGGGTGAGTTTAGGAAAGAAGGTGAAGAATTTTATTTTGGTTCATGATAAACTTGAGATATTTATGAAACATCCAAGGAGAGGTGTCTAATAAGTAATTGGTGACAAGGGAATATAACTCATGAGAGAGATGAGGGCTAAACAGTTAGGTTTGAGCACTAGCTTCAAAGAAATAATAATTGAACCCGTTAGACTATTGAGGTCACCAAGAGGAAATAGAAAATGAGAAGAGAGACCCCAGGACAGAGCCCTTGGGATAAATCCATTCATCCACAAAGTGAGTGGATGATGATGATTCAACAAAGACTTAAGAGTGGTTATATAGGTAGGGAGGAAACCAGGAAAGACTAATGTCATCAAATCCAGGGTTCTTCCCGAAGAGTAGGCAATCAATATTATCAAAAGCTGCAGATCGTTTGACCTAACAATACTGCTTCTAGGTCTGTATCCCAAAGAGATCATAAAAAGGGAAAAGGACCCACATGTACAAAAATATTTATAGCAGCTCTTTTTGTGGTGGCCAAGAATTGGAAATTGAGGGGATGCCCATCAATTGGGGAATGGCTGAGCAAGTTGTGGTATATTAACGTAATGGAATACTGTTGTGCTGTAAGAAAGGATGAGCAGGTAGACTTCAGAAAAACCTGGAAAGACTTATATGAACTGATGCTAAGTAAAATGAACAGAAGCAGGAGAACATTGCCCACAGCAACAGCCACATTGTAGGATGACTAACTTTGACAGACTTAGCTCTTCTCAGCAATGCAAGTATCTAAGACAGTTCTGAAAGACTCACAATGGAAAATGCTATCCACATCCAAAGAAAGGACTCTGGAGTCTGAATGCAGATGGAAGCATACTATTAGCTCTCCTTTTCTTTTGTTGTTTTGTTTTGTTTCTTCTTTTTTATGGTTCCTCCCATTAGTTCTAATTCTTCTTTATATCATGACTAATGTGA